AGAAGAACCAGTCCAGAAGACCTATACAATTTTTTTTCTTTTTGATTTTTTACCTGGATTACTGAGATGCATCAGGACACTCAAAAAAATGTCTTTCAGCCATGCAGTCTGACTCAACAAACAACCAGATTTTCATTGAATCATTGTAGAAACAGTATAAATAAAGTGTGCATCAATGAAAATAACTATTTTAAAACTTTAAAATTGATGTATTTGATAAACTTTATTTAGAACTCAATGACCAACCTCTGTGTGGTAGTAATTTAGGAATAAATAATAAATTTCCCAAGAGCCAGCTTCTGTAGCCGAGGATCAGACCGCCAGGGTCCCCTCCTTCGGCTGCCGCCCATTTCACACAGCACCCGACCCCTTTGGCCCCTCCTACAGGTGGTGAGCCCGTTGGAAGGGGGACCCACGTCTCCTCTTCGGGCTGAGCCCGGCCGGGCTCCGTGGGTGAAAGCCCGGCCACCAGGCGCTCGCCATCGTGCCCCATCGTGTATATGAAATTTATAAAATAAATATTTTCTAGGAAGTTGTGACTGTATAGTTCTCTTTTCATTTTCATTTGGGAAGTATGTGTGCATGTTAATCCAATAACTGGGTAGTTTCTGATTTATCTGTCATGCATTTTTCAGGTACTTTCTATAATTGTTTAGCTTGCAGGGGTTTGTTGTTATTGCTCAGCTTCCTGTTTTGTTTGGCATTTAAATTTTATTTATCTAGCAGATAGAAAAGCTACCAAACATAGGTGAACTTATAATCAAGAAATTACTGGTTCAAATCAAATTATTTTTTTGACGTTTTCATGTAGAAATAAGGCTGAAACTTAAAAACCAACAAAAATATGCCTAAACAAGCAGTTTGATTTTAAAGCAGTTGAAGTTTATGAGGTGCTCAGAGACAGTTTCAGAGATGCAGTGAATCTTGGGTTTCTTTAGACCCAGACCAACTTGATGGGCTCCAAACAAAGAGTGACTATAAAGGTTTGTTTAGACTTCATTTAGAGGATTTTAAGGTAAAAATGTTCTTTAAAAAGATTATGGGAGTCCCTTTAACAATATGTAAATATTCTGTGCTGAATGAGGTGGACATGTTTAGTCTTCTAATAGGCCTCATGTCTGCTGAATGTTGCACCATAAATTAAGGCAAATTGTTACTTTATTGTTTTTTGTCTTATCTTTATAGACCTTATGTTTATTTTTGCATTGCTTTGTTTCTGTTTGTAAATTAGAGAAGGTGTCACAATTTATATTTTCACTTGAAGCAAATTCTAAACTTTTATTCGTACAGTTGTCACTTTTTATTTCCAGTTCTGAGACAAATACAGTTTCAAAAACTCAACAAATGTGTCTTAATTGAGCCATAATGTTTAAATCAATGAGGCTCATGGGGAATCAAACTATTTGATATTTCATGTCCAAATTAGGCCTCAGCTACACACTAACATAGTAACACTGATATTGTGGATAAGTGTTGAAAGTGAAGCAAACAAATCACTGAGCTGAAATGACTGTTGTTCTTTTACACATTTGTTTAACACTGTTTTAAACTCATCAGTGTTTTAAACATACTAACACTTGTAAAACATTTTGACACAAACTAAGCTTGCTTTCCATAAGCTGCTCTTCATTCATTAATGCTTGATTGATCTTTGGATTTGTCTCTTTTCCTCCAGATGAGATCATGCAGCTGGACACGAATCCTCCCCACGCTGCCGACATCAAGGCCGATCTCAGAAAGCAGTTTGCCTTCCTGTCAGGTGTGGCTTTATATTTTTACCTGTCCTGTGCACTCGCATTATCAGTTTCCTGCTTTCACTTCTATCTCTCTGACAACAGTGATCGTTTGGATTTTAACTGGCCTGATTGATATTTGCATAAGTCCTATGTGGCCTACGGTTTTTTTCTTCTCTACAGTTAAATTTGATATTCAAATGTCACATTTATTCTTTTCCTCTTCAGACCCTCTCTAGTGGAGCTCTTAATGCCTGCTGTCATTTATAAACAAATATCACTTAAACGCCTCTAAATCTTGTCCATAATAAACTTTGAGGGTTTTTGCATCTACTGTTTTTATACAAACTGTTTTTTTTTTTCTGCACGGTGATCTTGTCTGTGCAGCAAAGTCTGCAAACGTTTAGCAGAAATTAAGCAGACGTTGAAACCATGACCGTGCACTTGCTGTTGCTATGGTGATAAGAGGAGAAAAGGCCGGCAGATTGATATTCCAGTCACATGCGCTGACAGAGCAGCTGTTACACCAGGGAGGGAGTGGTGTGTGTGTTTGTGTCCTAGGTGAGACTGTTGAGGTCAACAACAGTGTGTTGCATCTCTGTCTGAAAAGGTTTTATTTTTTACTCATCTTCATATAGATATGCATATATTTGACATTTTAGTGATTTTGCCAATGTAATGAATGCACAACTGTGTTTTATATCCAGGAGCATGTGATTCAGGTTTGTTTATTCCTGAAAGTAAAGGAGGAAGTGAAACTTAATCTGCATTTATATGGTCTTTAAAAAAATCAACTTTCTGGCCACAATCAGTAAAATCAGAGAAAACCCGTACATTTCTTAAAATGCACATTTGCAGAATATTTAAGCATTGAAGTTTTTTCTCCTTAAAGATATTTTGTTACATTAAAAAAGATTATTAACAGTGTTTTTTATTTGTATATTTGACTGTGGGGCGTCTCATTTTGCATTTTTTCCACTTTTGCTTTAAAACATTTTTTTCACAGTTGAATATAGATGAATCTAGTATATTACTTTGTGTAAATAGAGTAGTTGTAGATTTCATGCTTTCTTTGCTTTAATTTTAATCCTCTCCTCTCTCGTTACTGCCTCCTTGTGGTCACTGATGTTGTTATTTATTTTTATTTTTTTACCTTTTACTGTTAGACATATGAAAAAGTATTTTTAAGTGATCATCTGAGCCCCAAAACTGACAGCATGAACACTGTGACCAATAATGTTAGTTTCAATGATTGTGTCTGTTAAGAATAACATTGTTTTGGTCTTTACACTGTTGTCTGTCTTCAGACCACAGAGCGATTTAAGTTTACTCACAATAAATGTTATTCATATCTTTATCTTTTCTCTCTTTTTTATTTTCGTTTAGGGGGTAGAGGAGATAATGGCAGTCCAATCATTGTGTTCCCTGAGTTCGCTGCGTTTGGTGAAATCACAGACAGAGAGTTTCACAACGTCCTGACCTACCTGACAAGTGTGCCCAGGTAAAGAATAAAAAAAACAAACTGGTTAGACTGTGACCCACATCAGTCTGAGATTGTTGCTGTAATTCAGCAGCCATCATCAGTCTTAAACTCTTACTTTCTGTTATTTTGTCATCGTGTTTCACCATCTTCTTGTCTTCTTCTGTTTTGTGCTGCTGAAGCTTCAAAGGTTGTTGATGAAAAATACAGGAACACAAACAAGACAAATTAATTTAAAAGAATTCAATAAACCAAATTTTCTTTTGAAATGAAAATATCTAAGTGGTAAAGATTATTAATATGTTTTTTAAATTCTTCCATCCATCCATTTTCTGTACACGCTTCTTCCTTTTCAGGGTTGCGTGGGTCACTGGTGCCCATATCCAGCAGTCAC